ATGCTTGTGTGGGATGAGAGCATGTGTGTCCACGATGCTTGTGTGGGATGAGAGCATGTGTGTCCACGATGCTTGTGTGGGATGAGAGCATGTGTGTCCACGATGCTTGTGTGGGATGAGAGCATGTGTGTCCACGATGCTTGTGTGGGATGAGAGCATGTGTGTCCACGATGCTTGTGTGGGATGAGAGCATGTGTGTCCACGATGCTTGTGTGGGATGAGAGCATGTGTGTCCACGATGCTTGTGTGGGATGAGAGCATGTGTGTCCACGATGCTTGTGTGGGATGAGAGCATGTGTGTCCACGATGCTTGTGTGGGATGAGAGCATGTGTGTCCACGATGCTTGTGTGGGATGAGAGCATGTGTGTCCACGATGCTTGTGTGGGATGAGAGCATGTGTGTCCACGATGCTTGTGTGGGATGAGAGCATGTGTGTCCACGATGCTTGTGTGGGATGAGAGCATGTGTGTCCACGATGCTTGTGTGGGATGAGAGCATGTGTGTCCACGATGCTTGTGTGGGATGAGAGCATGTGTGTCCACGATGCTTGTGTGGGATGAGAGCATGTGTGTCCACGATGCTTGTGTGGGATGAGAGCATGTGTGTCCACGATGCTTGTGTGGGATGAGAGCATGTGTGTCCACGATGCTTGTGTGGGATGAGAGCATGTGTGTCCACGATGCTTGTGTGGGATGAGAGCATGTGTGTCCACGATGCTTGTGTGGGATGAGAGCATGTGTGTCCACGATGCTTGTGTGGGATGAGAGCATGTGTGTCCACGATGCTTGTGTGGGATGAGAGCATGTGTGTCCACGATGCTTGTGTGGGATGAGAGCATGTGTGTCCACGATGCTTGTGTGGGATGAGAGCATGTGTGTCCACGATGCTTGTGTGGGATGAGAGCATGTGTGTCCACGATGCTTGTGTGGGATGAGAGCATGTGTGTCCACGATGCTTGTGTGGGATGAGAGCATGTGTGTCCACGATGCTTGTGTGGGATGAGAGCATGTGTGTCCACGATGCTTGTGTGGGATGAGAGCATGTGTGTCCACGATGCTTGTGTGGGATGAGAGCATGTGTGTCCACGATGCTTGTGTGGGATGAGAGCATGTGTGTCCACGATGCTTGTGTGGGATGAGAGCATGTGTGTCCACGATGCTTGTGTGGGATGAGAGCATGTGTGTCCACGATGCTTGTGTGGGATGAGAGCATGTGTGTCCACGATGCTTGTGTGGGATGAGAGCATGTGTGTCCACGATGCTTGTGTGGGATGAGAGCATGTGTGTCCACGATGCTTGTGTGGGATGAGAGCATGTGTGTCCACGATGCTTGTGTGGGATGAGAGCATGTGTGTCCACGATGCTTGTGTGGGATGAGAGCATGTGTGTCCACGATGCTTGTGTGGGATGAGAGCATGTGTGTCCACGATGCTTGTGTGGGATGAGAGCATGTGTGTCCACGATGCTTGTGTGGGATGAGAGCATGTGTGTCCACGATGCTTGTGTGGGATGAGAGCATGTGTGTCCACGATGCTTGTGTGGGATGAGAGCATGTGTGTCCACGATGCTTGTGTGGGATGAGAGCATGTGTGTCCACGATGCTTGTGTGGGATGAGAGCATGTGTGTCCACGATGCTTGTGTGGGATGAGAGCATGTGTGTCCACGATGCTTGTGTGGGATGAGAGCATGTGTGTCCACGATGCTTGTGTGGGATGAGAGCATGTGTGTCCACGATGCTTGTGTGGGATGAGAGCATGTGTGTCCACGATGCTTGTGTGGGATGAGAGCATGTGTGTCCACGATGCTTGTGTGGGATGAGAGCATGTGTGTCCACGATGCTTGTGTGGGATGAGAGCATGTGTGTCCACGATGCTTGTGTGGGATGAGAGCATGTGTGTCCACGATGCTTGTGTGGGATGAGAGCATGTGTGTCCACGATGCTTGTGTGGGATGAGAGCATGTGTGTCCACGATGCTTGTGTGGGATGAGAGCATGTGTGTCCACGATGCTTGTGTGGGATGAGAGCATGTGTGTCCACGATGCTTGTGTGGGATGAGAGCATGTGTGTCCACGATGCTTGTGTGGGATGAGAGCATGTGTGTCCACGATGCTTGTGTGGGATGAGAGCATGTGTGTCCACGATGCTTGTGTGGGATGAGAGCATGTGTGTCCACGATGCTTGTGTGGGATGAGAGCATGTGTGTCCACGATGCTTGTGTGGGATGAGAGCATGTGTGTCCACGATGCTTGTGTGGGATGAGAGCATGTGTGTCCACGATGCTTGTGTGGGATGAGAGCATGTGTGTCCACGATGCTTGTGTGGGATGAGAGCATGTGTGTCCACGATGCTTGTGTGGGATGAGAGCATGTGTGTCCACGATGCTTGTGTGGGATGAGAGCATGTGTGTCCACGATGCTTGTGTGGGATGAGAGCATGTGTGTCCACGATGCTTGTGTGGGATGAGAGCATGTGTGTCCACGATGCTTGTGTGGGATGAGAGCATGTGTGTCCACGATGCTTGTGTGGGATGAGAGCATGTGTGTCCACGATGCTTGTGTGGGATGAGAGCATGTGTGTCCACGATGCTTGTGTGGGATGAGAGCATGTGTGTCCACGATGCTTGTGTGGGATGAGAGCATGTGTGTCCACGATGCTTGTGTGGGATGAGAGCATGTGTGTCCACGATGCTTGTGTGGGATGAGAGCATGTGTGTCCACGATGCTTGTGTGGGATGAGAGCATGTGTGTCCACGATGCTTGTGTGGGATGAGAGCATGTGTGTCCACGATGCTTGTGTGGGATGAGAGCATGTGTGTCCACGATGCTTGTGTGGGATGAGAGCATGTGTGTCCACGATGCTTGTGTGGGATGAGAGCATGTGTGTCCACGATGCTTGTGTGGGATGAGAGCATGTGTGTCCACGATGCTTGTGTGGGATGAGAGCATGTGTGTCCACGATGCTTGTGTGGGATGAGAGCATGTGTGTCCACGATGCTTGTGTGGGATGAGAGCATGTGTGTCCACGATGCTTGTGTGGGATGAGAGCATGTGTGTCCACGATGCTTGTGTGGGATGAGAGCATGTGTGTCCACGATGCTTGTGTGGGATGAGAGCATGTGTGTCCACGATGCTTGTGTGGGATGAGAGCATGTGTGTCCACGATGCTTGTGTGGGATGAGAGCATGTGTGTCCACGATGCTTGTGTGGGATGAGAGCATGTGTGTCCACGATGCTTGTGTGGGATGAGAGCATGTGTGTCCACGATGCTTGTGTGGGATGAGAGCATGTGTGTCCACGATGCTTGTGTGGGATGAGAGCATGTGTGTCCACGATGCTTGTGTGGGATGAGAGCATGTGTGTCCACGATGCTTGTGTGGGATGAGAGCATGTGTGTCCACGATGCTTGTGTGGGATGAGAGCATGTGTGTCCACGATGCTTGTGTGGGATGAGAGCATGTGTGTCCACGATGCTTGTGTGGGATGAGAGCATGTGTGTCCACGATGCTTGTGTGGGATGAGAGCATGTGTGTCCACGATGCTTGTGTGGGATGAGAGCATGTGTGTCCACGATGCTTGTGTGGGATGAGAGCATGTGTGTCCACGATGCTTGTGTGGGATGAGAGCATGTGTGTCCACGATGCTTGTGTGGGATGAGAGCATGTGTGTCCACGATGCTTGTGTGGGATGAGAGCATGTGTGTCCACGATGCTTGTGTGGGATGAGAGCATGTGTGTCCACGATGCTTGTGTGGGATGAGAGCATGTGTGTCCACGATGCTTGTGTGGGATGAGAGCATGTGTGTCCACGATGCTTGTGTGGGATGAGAGCATGTGTGTCCACGATGCTTGTGTGGGATGAGAGCATGTGTGTCCACGATGCTTGTGTGGGATGAGAGCATGTGTGTCCACGATGCTTGTGTGGGATGAGAGCATGTGTGTCCACGATGCTTGTGTGGGATGAGAGCATGTGTGTCCACGATGCTTGTGTGGGATGAGAGCATGTGTGTCCACGATGCTTGTGTGGGATGAGAGCATGTGTGTCCACGATGCTTGTGTGGGATGAGAGCATGTGTGTCCACGATGCTTGTGTGGGATGAGAGCATGTGTGTCCACGATGCTTGTGTGGGATGAGAGCATGTGTGTCCACGATGCTTGTGTGGGATGAGAGCATGTGTGTCCACGATGCTTGTGTGGGATGAGAGCATGTGTGTCCACGATGCTTGTGTGGGATGAGAGCATGTGTGTCCACGATGCTTGTGTGGGATGAGAGCATGTGTGTCCACGATGCTTGTGTGGGATGAGAGCATGTGTGTCCACGATGCTTGTGTGGGATGAGAGCATGTGTGTCCACGATGCTTGTGTGGGATGAGAGCATGTGTGTCCACGATGCTTGTGTGGGATGAGAGCATGTGTGTCCACGATGCTTGTGTGGGATGAGAGCATGTGTGTCCACGATGCTTGTGTGGGATGAGAGCATGTGTGTCCACGATGCTTGTGTGGGATGAGAGCATGTGTGTCCACGATGCTTGTGTGGGATGAGAGCATGTGTGTCCACGATGCTTGTGTGGGATGAGAGCATGTGTGTCCACGATGCTTGTGTGGGATGAGAGCATGTGTGTCCACGATGCTTGTGTGGGATGAGAGCATGTGTGTCCACGATGCTTGTGTGGGATGAGAGCATGTGTGTCCACGATGCTTGTGTGGGATGAGAGCATGTGTGTCCACGATGCTTGTGTGGGATGAGAGCATGTGTGTCCACGATGCTTGTGTGGGATGAGAGCATGTGTGTCCACGATGCTTGTGTGGGATGAGAGCATGTGTGTCCACGATGCTTGTGTGGGATGAGAGCATGTGTGTCCACGATGCTTGTGTGGGATGAGAGCAGCGCAGCATGGCACTCCACTCGAGGCTCCATTCTCTCACCCCAGCTGAACACTGTTTCAGGTGTCCCTAGAGTCATCTCATCACTACTAAACGTGCCTGCAGAGTCGTCTCATCACCTGAAGGGCGAGCATCAGTGTGTGTGAGTCCACGATGCCAGTGTGCGGTGACAGCAGCGCAGCCTGGCACTCCACTCTTGGCTCCATCCGGCTTGCCTCCTCCCTGCCCACCATTTGAAGCCCCTCCACCCCGTTGCCCTCCGCGTGGGTCTGGCGGGACGGCGATAGAGAGGCAAGCAATGGGATGCAATGGGACCTTTCAGTGAGTACTGAGTTGAGATTAACAAGTCTCCTCCCGGCCCACTATCCGCAGCCCCTCCACCCCGTTGCCCTCCATGCGCGGGTCTGGCGGGACGGCAGATGAAGGTGAGAGGTGGGAGAACTTAAGGAGAAGAGGGAACGGTGAGTCCGAAAAACGGGCATTGGGGGTTAGAGAACAGGGAGGAGAGGGTGAAGGTTGCAGCATGAAGGGATGTTGCAGCTTGGCAGCATGGGGGCATACAGCATGGGGGCATGGTGGCATACAGCATGGGGGTGGGGGCATGGGGGCATGGCAGCACGGCAGAGCAGTTGAACTCGCCTTAAGCTTCTCCAGTTGCGGCACTTGGTCTGCTGACGTGGCAACCACCAGCTTGCCGACCCTGCGGTGCGGCACTCCCCTGTCCTCACAGAACGCGTACAGCTGCCGCTGCCCCTCCACACACAGCCGTGCCTGCCACGTCAGCAGCGGATGGAATGGGCGGCAGGCAGGAGCATGATCCACGAAGACATAAGGCATTGTGAGTATCTTGAGCAATATCACGAACGTGAGGTACCGTCCCAGAGCTTCTCATTCACGGAGGTTGTACCTTAAGTGACCCGTGCAGGCAGGCAGGTAGTACCGTAGTAGTACCCCCATATTTGTGTGGAGTATGTGCGCGTATCCCTTGAGCGAGAGAGCACCATCCTTCCACACACCTTGCATGACAGTGCTTGCATGTACCTTGGGCGACCCATGAGGGTAGTGCAGCCCCGCATGAATTACTGCCCTGTTGCGCGAGCTGATGCCTCCACCCACTATGTGTGTGACGCACGCATGCGTGTGTGGAGTGGAGTATGAGGCACAACCCTTGAGCGAGCGAGTATCATCCTGAGAGGGGCGTACCTTAAGTGACCCACGTGGGTAGTACAGCCCCGCGTGAATCACTTCGCTGTTGCGCGAGCTGATACCACCCCCCACGGCCCCACCCGCCTCCACCACCACCACCTCCCGCCCCGCCCCCGCCAGCGCTCGCGCCACCGCCAGCCCCACCACCCCCGCGCCCACCACCACACACTCCGCCTCCTCCCTCTCACATGCCTCGAAATCCACAGCCATTGCAAGACCAGCAATGGGTTCTCCGCGACCCGTTCCCCCGCTTATCCCGCGGTGCTGCCCCCCGCTCGCGCCCCTTTCTCCCCGGTCCTCCGCATCCCCCGCGGGTGCTGCGCGCGTGGTTACCCGCGGGGAAGAGTGGAGTGCGGGGCATGTCGCGCGGATGTGTAAAGGAAGCGGCGCGTGTTGCGCAGGAGGCGGGTGAGGCGGGTGCGACCCGGGAGGGCTTCGGTGTGGTGGGGAGGGCGGCGATGGGGCGCTGGCGGCGGAACGCGCGCGGATGAAGGAGCGAGAGCGGGGTAGAGGGGAAGGCGGAGCTGGCGAGGCGGGGGGAGCGGACGCGGAGGGGGAAGGCAGCTCGTTGATGTTGACGACGATGATCTGACGGTGACGGAAAAGACAATTCAGGCGATAACGGGAAAATGCGTGAGCGAATGCCATTATGGGCGAAGAGATGGTACTGTCGAGGTGAGTCGCATGGGCGTAGCGAGTGACGTGTGCGACTGTAGACGTGGCAGGCGACGGCCCTGCGATGTTTGCAAGCGTCGCCGTGAGTCTCGAGGGGATGGTGTTCTGCCTGCGGAGATGTTGTTTTTTCGCGAGTGCTGTGCAGGTAACCCGATCTCATAAATCGTCAGAGAAAATCCTTGTTATAAAATGTTGTAGACCAAAATATACACCCCAGGAAAAGCAACAGAAGCATTTAACTAACTAAGCACCACAGCAAAGAAATCGCGAACCTCCTGTAATTTAGTGCTTCAATCTTCGCCATTACACGACCAACACTGCAGGCTCAAAACCAGCCCCCCGATGTCATATGGCCAACTCCCTCCCAACTAAGCATCAAATCGAATTTGATACCCTTTTTTTACAAAAACAAAATGTCACCAAAAAAGAAACACCCTGCCACCTTTACAGTGATTTGGTTTTGTGCAACAATCCAGCTCCGGACACCCTCTCATCGACCTGTGTCCTGCATCCGTCTGTTCATGTGCTACCACAACAGTTGCTGCCGCAACAGATGAGGCTACAGCAGTTGCTGATGCAATAGCTGCCACACCGCTGGTGCAAGACTCCCACAAAATCTGCAGCACCAGCTCCCTATACCACACCATGCCTGCTGCAGGAACCATTATAGTGCCTAGCGGGGATGACTTTGAGACGTCTCAATAATCTGCTTCAATAGCTGCCACACTGCTGGCACACTCCCACTGCATCTGCAGCACCAGCTCCACTGATGCTAGTTCATGCTTGCTGGGCTGGAGGAGTCACTCCAGTGCCAGGGCAGTGCCAGGGCAGTGCCAGGGCAGTGCCAGGGCAGTGCCAGGGCAGTGCCAGTGCAGTGCCAGTGCAGTGCCAGGGCAGTGCCAGGGCAGTGCCAGGGCAGTGCCAGTGCAGTGCCAGTGCAGTGCCAGTGCAGTGCCAGGGCAGTGCCAGGGCAGTGCCAGGGCAGTGCCAGGGCAGTGCCAGGGCAGTGCCAGTGCAGTGCCAGTGCAGTGCCAGGGCAGTGCCAGGGCAGTGCCAGGGCAGTGCCAGGGCAGTGCCAGTGCAGTGCCAGTGCAGTGCCAGGGCAGTGCCAGGGCAGTGCCAGGGCAGTGCCAGTGCAGTGCCAGGGCAGTGCCAGTGCAGTGCCAGGGCAGTGCCAGTGCAGTGCCAGGGCAGTGCCAGGGCAGTGCCAGGGCAGTGCCAGTGCAGTGCCAGTGCAGTGCCAGGGCAGTGCCAGGGCAGTGCCAGGGCAGTGCCAGTGCAGTGCCAGTGCAGTGCCAGGGCAGTGCCAGGGCAGTGCCAGGGCAGTGCCAGGGCAGTGCCAGGGCAGTGCCAGGGCAGTGCCAGTGCAGTGCCAGTGCAGTGCCAGTGCAGTGCCAGTGCAGTGCCAGGGCAGTGCCAGGGCAGTGCCAGTGCAGTGCCAGGGCAGTGCCAGGGCAGTGCCAGGGCAGTGCCAGTGCAGTGCCAGTGCAGTGCCAGTGCAGTGCCAGGGCAGTGCCAGGGCAGTGCCAGGGCAGTGCCAGGGCAGTGCCAGGGCAGTGCCAGTGCAGTGCCAGTGCAGTGCCAGGGCAGTGCCAGGGCAGTGCCAGGGCAGTGCCAGGGCAGTGCCAGTGCAGTGCCAGTGCAGTGCCAGGGCAGTGCCAGGGCAGTGCCAGGGCAGTGCCAGTGCAGTGCCAGTGCAGTGCCAGTGCAGTGCCAGGGCAGTGCCAGTGCAGTGCCAGGGCAGTGCCAGGGCAGTGCCAGGGCAGTGCCAGTGCAGTGCCAGTGCAGTGCCAGGGCAGTGCCAGGGCAGTGCCAGGGCAGTGCCAGTGCAGTGCCAGTGCAGTGCCAGTGCAGTGCCAGGGCAGTGCCAGGGCAGTGCCAGGGCAGTGCCAGGGCAGTGCCAGGGCAGTGCCAGTGCAGTGCCAGTGCAGTGCCAGGGCAGTGCCAGGGCAGTGCCAGGGCAGTGCCAGGGCAGTGCCAGTGCAGTGCCAGTGCAGTGCCAGGGCAGTGCCAGGGCAGTGCCAGGGCAGTGCCAGTGCAGTGCCAGTGCAGTGCCAGTGCAGTGCCAGGGCAGTGCCAGTGCAGTGCCAGGGCAGTGCCAGGGCAGTGCCAGGGCAGTGCCAGTGCAGTGCCAGTGCAGTGCCAGGGCAGTGCCAGGGCAGTGCCAGGGCAGTGCCAGTGCAGTGCCAGTGCAGTGCCAGGGCAGTGCCAGGGCAGTGCCAGGGCAGTGCCAGGGCAGTGCCAGGGCAGTGCCAGGGCAGTGCCAGTGCAGTGCCAGTGCAGTGCCAGTGCAGTGCCAGTGCAGTGCCAGGGCAGTGCCAGGGCAGTGCCAGTGCAGTGCCAGGGCAGTGCCAGGGCAGTGCCAGTGCAGTGCCAGTGCAGTGCCAGGGCAGTGCCAGGGCAGTGCCAGTGCAGTGCCAGTGCAGTGCCAGGGCAGTGCCAGGGCAGTGCCAGGGCAGTGCCAGTGCAGTGCCAGGGCAGTGCCAGGGCAGTGCCAGTGCAGTGCCAGTGCAGTGCCAGGGCAGTGCCAGGGCAGTGCCAGGGCAGTGCCAGGGCAGTGCCAGGGCAGTGCCAGGGCAGTGCCAGTGCAGTGCCAGTGCAGTGCCAGTGCAGTGCCAGTGCAGTGCCAGGGCAGTGCCAGGGCAGTGCCAGTGCAGTGCCAGGGCAGTGCCAGGGCAGTGCCAGTGCAGTGCCAGTGCAGTGCCAGGGCAGTGCCAGTGCAGTGCCAGTGCAGTGCCAGTGCAGTGCCAGGGCAGTGCCAGGAATGCGAGCAACTGACCATGAGCAGCATCCTGCTGTGGCAGCTGCTGCTACAGCCGGTGCTACACCTCTGACGCTGCATTCACTCCCTCTGATGCTGCTGCTCCTGCACTCCCACCTTCTGCCACCTCACCGTTGCCATTGCTGGATTGCAGCCCTCCCAGCACCAAAGCAGGCCCAGACGGAACATCAGTCACTGACGCTGTTGCTGCAGGAACATCAATGACAGTCGGCGCAGCAGCAGGTGCTGCTGGGGCAGACGAAGGCACACCTAGAGCAGGCGGCAGAAGGAGAGGAACAGGAGCAGGAGCAACATTAGGAGCAGCAGACGTTGGTACAGATGCACCAAACCCTGCAAGGCCAGCAGCAGCATCTGCCACACCAGCGGTGACATCAGGTAGGGTCCCCGCCGCCGCCGCCACAGCAGGGTTACCAGGAGGACCAGCAGCCGGGTCAGCAGCGGCAGGGGCGTCAGCAGGGGCGTCAGCAGCGGGGCCGCCCCAGTAGTTAGGCGCTCTGGCAGCAGGCCACTGGAGGATGGCTGTGGCTGCCTCTGGTAGCACTGGCTTCAGCAGTGCTGGTGGCCTCCACCCCCCTCCACCTGATGCGCCCCCTGATGGTCCACCTGATGGGACACCTGATGAGCCACCTGAGATACCTCCTGTTGCTCCCCCTGCTGTATCCATGGCTGCACCCCCTGATGCTTCTCCACTGGGAGAATCGGAAAACATTCCAGAAGCAGTGGCTGCGGCTGCTGAGTCAGCAGCAGCAGCTGATGATGACGTGGCAGGCGGGCGGCGGGACCAGGGAGCATCATCCACAGAGCCGTTACCGGCACCACCACTCACACCAGAATAGCCCATCCCTCCGTAATAGTCACCCCCGTTAGCAGCACCATAAGCTGAACCCATGGCGCCCTGGTTGTAAGCAGACGGGTGCCCAAACTGCTGCTGCTGCTGCTGCTGCTGCTGCTGCTGGTATGGCTGGTTGGTTTGGTAAGGCTGCTTGGCTTGGTACGGCTGGTTGCTCGTGTACGGAGCACTGGTTTGGTACGGCTGGCTGGCTGTGTAAGGCTGGTTCGGTCCATATGGGTATGGCTGGTTGGATGGGTAGGCCTGGCTAGCAGAGCTCATGCCAGCAGACTGTGGCCTGCTTGCTTGACCCCCCGCTGGGAACCCTCCTCCTCCTGTTCCTACTCCTGCTCCTGCTCCTGTTCCGGTTAATGATCCTACTGCTCCTCCTCTTCCTGCTGCTGCTGATGGTGCTGTGCTCACTGTGCTGCCAGGTCCCTGCTGTGCTGCTGCAGACTCCCAGGGCTACTTCAAAGGATGAAAGGCAGAGGGGACAGGGAGGCAGCAGAGGAAACCGGGGGAGAGAGGGCGGTGAAGGGTAGTGGAAAGCATGGGAAACGGGAAAGTGGAGGCGGAAACATCAACAGGGGTAAGATTTATAAGTTACAGGGAGCGTATGATGGGGCAGGAGGAGGCATGACGCGCACACGAGGCGAAGGATAGCGAGATTAGGGGGCGAAGGATAGCGAGATTAGGGGGCGAAGGATAGCGAGATTAGGGGGCGAAGGATAGCGAGATTAGGGGGCGAAGGATAGCGAGATTAGGGGGCGAAGGATAGCGAGATTAGGGGGCGAAGGATAGCGAGATTAGGGGGCGAATTCCCATGGGGCAACGGGTGAATAAGGAGAAGGTCAGGTGGCTTGTCTGGGCAGGGAGCAAGGCAGCATACCTTGAGGGGGCGTGCCAGGCGGGAGTCCGATGGGGGCTGCTCAGGATTGGGGGGTTTGTCATTGATGTCCTGCAGGACAAAAATACGGTTGGGGATGGGGATGGATGAGAATGGGGGCAGGGCGAGGGAAAGGGCACAATGGCAGGCAGTTGCTGCGGTGTATTCTGAGGCGCCGCAAAATACACATCGATGCTCAGGATTGGGGGGTTTGTCATTGATGTCCTGCAGGACAAAAATACGGCTGGGGACGGGGATGGAAACGGGGATGGGAGCCCAGCACACACATGGTGGGGTGGGAAACGGGTTACAGTGCAGCAGGGAAGGGGAGTCCAGAAAGCGTCATGCCCATTGCCCATGTCGATTGGAAAAATGAACAGAATATTTTTTCTGGTCATGCCCATTGCGCAATCATACTATTAAAACAAGCCTTAATCGAAATTGCTTGAGAGGCAACGCGCCGTCGTGCAACATGTCTGGCTAAGAGGTGAGGCGAGAAGGGACCTTGATTCCTGGTGGCGTTTCTCCCCGCTTCACCATTTCCATCACCTGCACAGCACATTAGATACCCAACCAGTATAGGGTTTAGGGGCGCCTCATAAGCAGTGACGGCGAAAATTCCCCGGTATAAAGGGCGACCTCAAAAGAATGTATAAAAAAAAAAGGGGGGGGGGGGGGGGGGGGGGTGAACAGATGAAGTATCTACCAAGGCACCCACCCTGGCTGAACAAAAGCATCCCGTACCTCATAAAAGGACTTGGGATGGGGAGGGCCGTTAGTTGCCCCTGCACCAGCTGAACCTGCACCAGCTGAACCTGCACCAGCTGAACCTGCACCAGGCGCACCAGGCGCACCAGGAGAAGCAGTGCTACTGCCGCCAGCGCCCAGAGCAGCAGAGGATGACGAGGGCGCAGGGGCACTAGACGGCCGCCACGGCTGGGCGGAATATGGCTGAGGGGAGTAGGACTGAGAAGAGTAGGGCTGGGCGTATGAGGCGTCGTTACTGTGTTGCTGCTGCTGCTGTTGGGTAGGCTGACGAGACGAAAGGGCTGAACGGAGGATGCAAAGCGGGTGGGTATGGAAAATGGAGAAACGGATTCGGTTGAAAGATACCTAATCGGGAAAAAGAAACACGCAAGGCTGAGAGGAAGAGGCTGTGCATTGGAGGAGAGGCGAAACGGAAGAGAAAAACGCAGAGGAGGCCCAGCAGGAGAGGGGGGAAAGGGAGGGGGGGAGAGGGGGGAGGGGTGGGAGGGGCTATTGAAATAATGGGCCTCAGAAAAAGCACCAAGTGCACACGCTTGGACGGATGGCAGCCAGATGGACTCACCAGAGCGCATGTCCGATCCCGCAGCAGCAATGCTAGCTGCTGCTGCTCCCACAACACCGGCACCGGCAGCACCAGCAGCGTTGGCGGCCTTGAGCTGCTGCACCTCTGCAGTCATGGCTTCCAATGCCCGCAGCAATGCCGCCTGGGACCCATCCTTGCTACCTCCCCCCCTCCTGCCTCCCCTCCTCCCTTTCCTCCCTCCACTGCGCCTTCCTTTCCCCCTCCTCCCCTTCCCCCTCTCCTCCTCGCTCTCTGAATCCCCTGTCTCTGACTCGCTCTCTGACTCACTGCTACTGCTGGAGCTGCTGCTGCTGTCACTGCTCCCCTCCTCTTCTGCCTCTACCTCCTCCTTCCTATCCTCCCGTTCCTCCTCTGGCTTGTCTGGGTCTGTACCCTGGCCTCGTCGCCTGCTCGCCTTCTTTCCCTTGCTGCTCTTCTTTGCAGCCTGCTTGCTCCGTCGCTTGCCTGCTTGCACACAGAAGGACGGACACACATACATGCAGAGCAGACAAGCACAGCAATCATGCACGGAAGCACAGCACCAACCACACACAGAGACACACATGAATGCATGGAAAAATGCAATGAGTGAAAGGAAGTGCCAGCCAAGACAAATAAAGAAGCGGAAACAAGAGAGGCAAATGATAGCTCAGTAAAGTCAAACAACCTGCATGCTGGCGTGTGTACCTTTCTTGGAAGCTTCTTGTGTTGCAGCTTCCTGGAGCCAGGTCTTGAGGCGAGGGAGAACGAGACGCTGCATGGCAGGCAGGGGGGCAGGGAGATACAAATTAGGCACGATGAAACGCTCACGGGCGGGTGACGGACGACGGAAGCAGGGGAGGAGAGCGGTACGGAAACGTGGAACGAAAAAGGGAGTTTGGGGAAACAGCGCACATGGAAATACTTCGAAAAAAGACCCGGGAGAGAGAGAGAACATGCGGACGGAAAAGGAAAGCAAGTGGGAGCTCAAATAGTGGATGATCCCGTTCAAATGATTCACCTTTGCAACAGCAGAAGTGCCGGCAGTGCCCGCCCCCACAACAGCCAGAGCCACTGCCAGCTTGGACCACGAAAACGCCTGTGCCTGCTGCTGCAGACCAGGAGCAACAGCAGGAGGAGGAGGAGGAGGAGGGGGAGCGGCAGCAGCAGCTGGCTCTGCAGCAGTGGCAGTAGCAGCAGGGGCCTTGCGAGCAGCAGGCAGAGGCTGGGAAGACGAGCCCACCTCCACGTCCTCTGACCCTGTTGAGGGGTCCTGGTGTGTGTGAGGCAGTGGGGAGGGAGCCCAGCGAGGAGGACGAGAAGAAAGAGCGATGAATCGGAACAGTAACAACCGTCACCCCTGTGCGTGCTCCAGACGATATAAATTCCGTCCAGAACATACTCCCACGGCCCTTCTCCCCACCATCTCCAACCTCTAGTACCCCTTCCCCCCATTTCCTCCCTCCCCTTTCCCCATTTCCTCCCTCCCCTTTCCCCATTTCCTCCCTCCCCTTTCCCCATTTCCTCCCTCCCCTTTCCCCATTTCCTCCCTCCCCTTTCCCCATTTCCTCCCTCCCCTTTCCCCATTTCCTCCCTCCCCTTTCCCCATTTCCTCCCTCCCCTTTCCCCATTTCCTCCCTCCCCTTTCCCCCTCTCCCTCCCAAGAAGAACAGAACCAAGTAACTCACCGGGCAGCGTCGAAAGGCCTCGTCAATCTCCTCTGCCGACATGCCCTTGCGCTCCAGGAAGGCTCGGCGAAACCGAACCGGGGAGCTCCGGACCTTAGGGTTGGAGAGGAAGCTCACAGCCTGCCGAACCATGTCCTCCCGAACCGGCTGCTTCGGGACGAAAGGCTCGGAAACGCTGGCAGGGCTGCTTCCTGGTGCGGCAGCAGACTCATACGGCTTTGGAGGAGGCCTGGGAATGCTGTCTGGCGCGGTGGGAGCAGCAGCTGTGGCTGTTGGTGCTGCTGGGGCTTGAGATGCTGATGGGTTGCTGGCAGGCGTTGCAGGTGGAGCTGCTGGGTTGGAGTGAGGAAAGAAAACATCGGGGGGAAAGGGAGTGAGTGGGGGCAAGGGGGGATGAAGAGGAGGGGGTTGGGTTGGGTGGGGGGAGGACATAATGAGCTGAGCAGCGTGGATGAATGATGTAGAGCGAACGCGCGGTGTACAGAGAGGCTGTTACCTGCGGATGTGATTTCTGAGTCGCCGCAAAAACTACCAGAGGCTGTTACCTGCAGAGGCTGTGTCTACTGGCCTTGGCGGCATCGCCCCCGGTCCTGTAGAGCTGGCGTTGCCTTCGCCCTTCATGGGAAAGACTCAGAGTGAATATTGTGGAGTGGATTCAGCAATCTGATTGAATCGGTGAAGGACTGGCACACGGTCAAGTGCGAAGGCTTGTCAATCCGGCAGGGACAAGGCGGCTGCAACAACGCCTGTAATGGAAGACGTGATAAGTGATAACAGGAATTCAGGACGAATGGTGATGGAGATAAGGATGACAGGAGCAGAGAGCATCACAATTGGGTGCCCTCTATTTTCTCTTGCAGACACTCCTGTCGTTTCCCCCTAAATAAACTGCAGTGCACTTTCTGAGGCATGTTCTGTAACGTTGTTGAAACACTACCTGATTCGTTGGTACTAATTTTATTTTAATGTACACTGTTTCCGCAAAAACGTCCCGCAACAAGAAAAATCGGAGGGGAACACACGAGAAACAAAAGAGCAGGATTGGAGCTCGAAACGTCGATAGCAGAACATAGCTAAAAATGTAATGGTTTAGATTGGACAGGTTACCTCATACAAGATAGCCAGCTTTGGTTGATGCAAACTCACATGCAAGAACATGAGAATCCTCTAGCCTCACCTCTCCTTTCTAACCCGGAAACCTAAGAAACACGATAGCGCTGGTCCTCTTGTGATGCAGCAGGTGCTAGAGACTGGAGGGTGGACCGGGAGCGGGCTTGAAAAAAGGACAAGGAGACGGGAGCAGGTTGACCAAAGGATAGTCTGGGAAAGTAGTGGAGGGTGGCTGAGATGTGGCAATGGAGTTGGTGGAACCATACCCAACCGTATCATGTGTTGTACGTGAATTATATGGTTTGATAAAAAGTTATCCGTACGCCAAAACAGGAAACCCTATTGACTCTATTCTCCATTGCACGCTAAGATCAGTTGATTAGCCGAACATAAAATCAGAATGATTTTTTTTGGATTGATATAATGTAGAACTCCAATTCTCCCTGTGAGAAACCCCATTGCTGCTGATATGGGTTTTTGCAGGTAAATGTACACCACAAGTATGCATGAATTGGAGGTGTCGGGCTTGTACAGAAAACGAATCCACGTGTTTCAATGCAGCCTGGGACGGAGAAACAAATCTGCTTTTGTACAGACAACGATGTGATGCTGTGCGAGATTGGGGTAAGCCACCAGGCCAACTATATCCAGTCACTGTCACAATCCGCCACAGCAGCTCCCGCATTCGTGCTGTGCCGAGGCCAAAACCCCCCCATCTCCATTATTCCACCATTTCCTGTTCTGCACTCTGTTTTTCGACCATCTTTTCCTGGGTTCTTTCTAGGAGCTGGGAAGCTTGATGAAGCTTTCACTATGCCGTAGCTGAGTAAGTGGGGGCTGATGCTCCCCAACGAATGCGGTTGATGCGGAGTGGGCAACCTTCTGGAGGCTGAGTGGCCGAGTGCATCTGAGGCCATGACAGCGCCAACTGAGACCCGAGGTTTGAGGCGCGGCTACAAATGCGCTGAAATTCGACAAAGATTATGGTGGGTCCGACGGCCCCTACGCCCATTCTCTTCGCATGGATTTCGCTATTCACAGTGCATCGAGCCAGAAGCAGTTTTTACTAATGACTTCAATTTAAGTATGTAACGTGGGGGCTTCTATAGAGTCACTGGAGGGTCCATTACGTGACTCATTCAGCGCTCGAAGCCTCCGAAATGAATGGCCGGGTAGGCAAAAGGGCATCACTATTACATGCCACCTCACTATTTCCTTCCTGAGGTGGCTTAGTCACCCCTCGACAGACTGCTTATTGCACTCCAGTCATTGGTTTATTACTGCTCGTTTTTGTCAGCTCAGCTGTCACTGCACTACAGACATCCTAAACGAGTGTCTGTCTTTGTTTCTTCGATACTGTTTACGACCATCCGAATCACCCTTCAGATCCGCTTTGGCTTTTTAGTTCGGGTTCAAGGATCATGGTGAAGCGTGAATACGGCAAAACAGGCCAATTGGAATGCGCTTGAATGGTAAGCTACCGTCCGTATCACACGCTCCTCTATTTTTGTTTCGCGGTTTATATTGCTCCTCTGCACTAGTTGGTGTGGTCAATCGGAGTTTGAATGTTTCTGCATGGCGACTCAATTAGAGTCACTGGTGTGCCTGATTACCGTGGCACATGCAGCGCTCAAGGTCGCCTAGAGCACGGTCAAACGGGGCGGAACTATACCCAGGCACGCAGCTGATCAAGTGGTTGTGCCTTTGTCCCCCTCCCCACATTTTGTCGGATGATCACTGACGAATATTGCGGTTCGTTTCAATGGGTCCCGTGACGGTGCTTAATCAGCTGTTAGTGTTTTGCTTTTGTATCTGCAGGTTGCACTGCAGTTGCGCGGTGTGGCAGTTGCTTGGCACACTCCCAGGCGGGATTTCAGGGATTGCCTCTGCAAATGAGGGTGTTGCTTTTGTAACGAAAGAAAACCTTCTGAATTCATGAAGGGGTGTCTCCTGAATGATGTAAGGTCCGAGCCAAGATTTAAGAATCATACCATTTTGGTATCAAAGATGTGTCGATGCATTACCTTTTGTAGCATGTGCTCAGTTTAACATGTAAGAAGTAAAATTTTAGGGGGGGTCCAGCTCGTACATTTACTGTTCGTAAACCCCTCAGTTACCACATTTTTTGTGGTAACCCTTTATTGAACGTGTCCAGCGGACACAATCAGCTTCTGTTCGCAAGACGGCACGCCCCATGCACGTACCTAGAGTCGTCTGACTCACGTTACTGGAATCAGCAGGGACGCGAACAAGGGTACAGCACCGCGTCCTGGCCACTACAGTTCGTTTCCCTTGTATCGCTTGCACGATTTCGTCAGTGGTTCGCTCTACTCGCCAGCGCCCCCTGCGCCTGCACAAAAATTTTCAAGCTATGATTGACGAGGGAAACTGTTACCTCGTTTTCAACGTGGTCAGAGCACTGTTGATTCGTGTGGCGGGGAATGTGCCCGCGCTTCTGAAATTACAGGATGGTTGGACTCCACTCAACGCATTCGTTTCTAGGTACGGTAGTTATTTTTGAACCTTGATACGTGCGTTGGCACGAAAAATCCCGAAATGAACGAACTGGACACGCCCTTAGCAATTTCTGGACTGATCACCGGAGTGTGGGTCAGGCTTGGGGTTCAGACCGTCAGTTCACTTCAGGTTTGTGAAAAAAGATGTTAGCCTGTTCTGCCTCTTTGAGCCGCCATCCACCAGTCTCAACAGCGATGTTATGATGTATGACGGTAAATGAACTAATGCATGCCTGACCCGCCCTTAGAAGCTCAGGCACACTTGAACAAGGAATCTGCAATTTCTAGGCCATCTACCGTATCTACAGTGGTTATATTGCATGCATGCCAGCATCTTGTTGAACTGACATGGCAGACATTGTGGAAGGAAACTCGTCTTCAGCCCTAATTGGTTCCTCGTTAGCAGCATCAGTCTTTGACAGAAAATCTGTAATGACAGGGTACACTTCCTCTGGTGCCTGGAATGCGGAAAAACATATGGCACAGCACGGCAGTGATATGTCATTAGTGTAAGTGGTGAAACTCCAGTCACAGGGTTTGGTCATCTTGCTTAGATGCTGCTCATATGCTAACTTATGTTAGTCACATGGCATGCCTGCTCACATGTCACGATTGCTCAACTGTCACAACCACTCACATAGCACGACTCACGTGTCATAATCATTCACATAGCACGAATACTCACATGTTTGCCCACGAGCATGTCGTAGTGTCCGTAGCGACGGTTGTCCGACCCTCCAAACAGCCGGTACTCAACATTGGCAGATGGGATGGCTTTCAGAGTTTCTGCAGCCCACACATCACGTTCATCGGAAACGGGTCAGAGAGGAGGTAGAGGAGAGTCAGAATCAGCTTTACAAAGGACATACGTGGACAACATTTGAGGCGACTCCAAAGGTGAAAATTTCGAGAAACGGTCACTTTGACAACACGTCTGTGACGATCTTTCAGGCTGACAAAGTGGTAGGAACATGGGAACTACAGAGACTGACCTCGGACGAGCAGAGCTGCACTGACTGACCTGTGACAAGCAGCGGGGGGCAGACGCCGTCAGCATCACCAGCAAGGGCGAGCACGGGCGTGTAGCAGTCCCTCAGCCCCTTGAGGTACGAGATGGACCCGCAGTTACATGTTGCACACTCATCTCTGACATGACAACCAGAGCGGCACGGACTGACCTGTAACAAGGAGGGGTGGGCAGACACCGTCGGAGTCGCCAGCAAGGGCGAGCACGGGCGTGTAGCAGTCCCTCAGCCCCTTGAGGTACGAGATGGACCCGCTGCGACTGCGCAGCCCGCCTGGCGTGAAGATTGACTCCATTTGCAGCAGGAGCTTCACAGGGATAGTGCCTGGGGGAACGACACATAGAAGAATGGGGAAATGGGAAGTTGAGTTGTTGCTCATGCGCAGCCCGCCTGGCGTGAAGACAGACTACATCTGCAGCAGGAGCTTCACAGGGTTGGTGCCTGGAGGGGATGGCAAACAGAGACAATGGAAGAATGTGAGTTGAGCTGCTGCAAAAGCAGAAGCTGTTGTAAATGAGCTCGTAAAAGAGCGTTGAGTCCATGATAACCCTGCCTGAGACCTGGTGTATAACCCACTGAGTTGCCCCAATCCATAATACCCCATTCTACGCCTTACTATCCCGTGGCTCCTCACCCCCCACTCACAGAAGTTGTGCTGCATGAGCTTTTGAAAGAGCTGAGGGTCCATGGCATCACGGGCTGACACCTGGTGTGCCACCCACGCCAGCGTGAAGGGCGGCTGGGTCATGAGAGGCAGTGCTGCTCGCGCCAGCACTGCCACCGGGATGACTGGAAAGTTGAGAGCTCGCGCTGGGCCGGACTGGGATGGGGAGGGAAGGCGGGGACGGGAGGGAAGCATGGTTATTGTGGTGCCTACGGTCACGAGGGACAGTGCTGCTCGCGCAAGCACTGCCACCGGGATGACTGAGAATTTGAGGGCCCGAGCAGGGCTGGCCTGACAGGGGAGGAGAGCCGGGAGACATGTGAGCTAATTGCGGAAGCAGTGCCTCTGGGAGGACTGGGAAATTGAGGGCCTGAGAAAGGCCAGCCAAGGGGATTATGAGAGAAGGCGGGGACGGGAGAGTAGGGTGCGAGGGTGAAAGATGAAAGGGTTTCTGGTGCACGACAGGAGAGGATTTCTGGGGCGCGTGAGAGGACAGAGAACATGTGTGAATGTGAAAAAGAGCTGGTGGATTCATTTCGGGTTGACCTCCACGTGATGGTGTAAAAGGTGGTGTAACTGGTGGCGCAACTGGTGGCGCAACTGGTGGCGCAACTGGTGGCGCAACTGGTGGCGCAACTGGTGGCGCAACTAGCAACTGGTGGCGCAACTGGTTGTGTAACTGGCACGGTGGTATTGCTGGAAACAGCAGCACTTACAAGTGGTCGTAAAAGCTTCAAGCTGGAATTAGCCATCCAGTACTCGAGTGACGATGCCACCGTCACCACCCCCAACAGACCCGCATCTGGACCTGCAGTCTCATACAGAACGAGAGGGGGAGAGCGAGAGGGATGGTGAGCAAGAAAGGATACACTGAATTACGAGAATAAAAACTGCAAATTGGTATTATATCTCCGGCAGTATGATACGACTCTTACCCAGAGCAGCCATTCGCGAGTACAGCAGAATCCCCCCCATGGAATGACCGACGGCCAGGATCTTCCCATCATGCGGCCGGGACCATTTCCGCACATACTGCATGGCAGCTGGCAGGTCATCATACAGATACGTGTCAAAATCCCAGTTATACTCCTTGGCAAGGCTCGCCACGTCCTGTGTCTGCAGAATCACACCAATCAGCTGCTCATAGAGCTCAGCCACTCCTGGCGTCGCTACACCCTGTCTAGACTCCACAATTTCCCCCAGCCGTTTCTGAAGCTCAGCTAGCCGTTTCTCGAGGTTGGAAGAGGCGATGCTGTTGCTGAGCAGCCGGGTGGTCTGCTGGAGGAAGGAGGCAGCGGCAGTGGGGAGAGTGGTGTCGGATTTCAGTGGGCCTACCAGATCAGCCAGATCTTTCATCGCTGCAAAAGCCTCAGGCGAAACGTCAGGTGATTGTTGAGCATCGCTGAAGAAGGAATCTAAAGCGCGCCTCAACTGTGTCACGCCAGATGACGTCAGCTCCACGTCACTGCAGGTCTGCAGCTGAACGAGTATGTGCTGCAAGTCAAGCAGCGCCACTGGCTGCTGCAGGCTTGCATGGTCCAGAGCTTCTCTCAATCTGATCTCTGCGGATTTTAGCTTTGGCCTGAGTGCTTGGCGGTCCATTGCTGGTTCTGAACGGGTGAACTGGTCAAAATAATTTCGCAGCTGCTGCATGGTTCGGGATAAGCTGCCCGAAACGCTGAAACCTTCTGAAGAATCCTCCCTTGCTGTTGCAGGCCTTTCTGAAATTGCTGCTCCAGCTGTTGCCGCTGCTGCTGTTGCTGTTGTTGATGCTGCTGCAGCTGCTGTTGAATCTTCGTCATCACTTGAAAACAACGGAGTGAACACAGAGCCGTTTGTCGTACCATCTGTTCTCCTGCTGCTACTAACAGCCGAGCCGTTCGGACTAGCTCCGTTCGCATACTCGTTTGTAGAAGCTCCGTTAATTGGAAACCCATTAACAGAGTTTCCAGTATCAATGGCAGAGTTCATCGTGCCATTTACAGAACCATTAACGAATGTAATAGGGGGTCCTTCTATAGGACCAATAGCAGAACTCTTGGCAGATGACAAACCCTGCGCCCCTGCTATAGAGAAAGGAGACTGGCTTAAGCCTGCTCCACGCAGCTCGAGCACCCAGGTATCGAACCCTTGATCTGCCAGATGACGAGCCAGAGACACCTGCAGGATAACATGGCTCAGTTGACGTGTCAATCAGGGTGGAATGTTTGGGATCCCTCAAACAGAGTCTGCCTTGAAAATCAGAGAGGCAACATAGAATAAATACTCAGAGGAAAAACGACATTCACTACAAGGGCTGAAATGAAAAGGTAGTTACCTCTTGTGATAAATCGTATCCGAGAGCATTGGTGGCAATTCCGGAAAGGAGAAGGACTGGATGAGCTTTCCGAGGAACCTGATTCGCAAACACCAGCAAGAACAACAAAAATAACATCATACGGCGGATTTCATCTTCTTGAGGCAAGAGAGGCATCGACGCGACGGAAGCGGCCATTCTTAGAAAAAATAAGCAGAGAGAGGAGAGGATTAAAAGGGTCTGGAAACCAGGAACGGAAGAAATACACACGGATTCAGAAGGGAGATAACGCCAGAGCGCGAGTCGCCATCCATCGGACGTCTCTACATAGTGCAGCTCGTCTCCCGTGAAAAGCTCCAGCTCTTGCGGGACACCAACTTGAGCCTCTAATCGCTTCTCGAACCGCGTCGCTTTCCGGAGCTCCTCCTTTAAAGCCGACTCTTCGTCGACTAATACGGATCCATGATTCTTCGTGTTCTCGTTGGCATCGCAGCGGACATTGACTCCTCGAAACGCTCGCCGGCGAGGAAATTTGACTCCGGCATGGTTCACTGAAAGACGTGTGCGGTCATTGCGAGCGGTGCTGGTACATAGCTTGCGGGTGTAACCAGCAGTTTGAGGCCGTGAGACTAGAGATGTTGCTGACATGTTGAGGGGACGGCAGCAGTTCTAAGAGATGCTGGACGAATGGAACCGATTCTATACCAAGCTACTGCTTCTAGAAATGAAGTATCAGGAACGATCAAATTGGAGGACTAAGTGACGAATCTAGTTTACCTTTGCCTCTCGTACTTCAACAGAAGGGGTATTATTAGGCAACGTGAGATCATTCAACAGTGAAAAGCTAATTTGGTTAACGCGCAAGTCGGACTCGCCAACTCAGACGAATGACCTTTATCGTAATGTCATCAATTCAACTCAGCGTTTGATTCACTGATCCTGCTCCTTTGGCGGTTTCAGCAGCACAATGAACTCACTGCGACTCGAGCTGATCAATAATCGACACATGAAACCGTTGAAACCGCTAGTGGTCCTTAGTGGATTCGGGGACTCGACGCCAACTTGGCGTATCTCGAGGCTGCCGTCAGCTCCCACCAGACGCCATCGTCGACACGACAGTCAGCAGTCAGACACCATGGCGTTGATTGCATCTCTCGTGGGGAACCCCAAGCACCACATCCTAACGCTTCGAACCGTACTGAAATGGACTACATCGCACAAACAAAATGTGTACACTGTGTTGCATTGTGTGCTGGTGGCAACTTGAGGGTCATTGCGCTGATGGCGGCCCGCCTAAAGTGTGCCTCAGAAAAGGCACCTCAAGATTACTCCCTCAGCTGGGCTGGCTGGCTGTCATTTGACCTCACCACCTCGAGATTATCGAAGATGGACGGATGGAAATCACCGATTTCCCAAATTCCCGCTCAGGGAGGAGCTGGGCTATGTCGGCTTTCGAGGGGCTGACGAGGTGGTGATCGTCGTCCAGTGAACAAGGGGGCTATGTGACGGTTCGGCTGATGGTGGTCCACGGGACGTGACGTGGCGACGCGGTGGAGAAAGTGTGTAGGGATTGGTGAACGAGGTTGACAGATGGCAGATATTGTGAGGCGGAAGCTCCCTCCTTACAACCACTTGCAGCAAGCTTTGGATAGACCTGGCATAAAAATTGCATTACTCACCCTCATTCAAAACTACCTGTCTGTACATTGGGGTTAGCGACTATTGCGACCTTATTACTGGATTATGAGCATGACGTAACCATTGCCACTTATAAACTGGGTCGTGACTTCTAATCTCTGGGCCGTGTCTCCTGATACGTAGCTACTTGCTCCTCGGCTGCTCTCAGCTATAACCTACCCATGCCACTAACACTGATGGAGGGAGTGCTATTGCCATCGCTAACACCAACATTACCCCTCGTGATTGTCATGATGTGACTGCCTGCCAGGCTCCCAGTAACCACGGTCACTCCAGTCTGAGCTTGCCCGCCGAAACACCCTTTCTTTTTGCCGGAGAGTGGTTTCAGGCAACGGAATGGACTCGTCCACTTGTGATGCCAACCCCCTCTGTGAGTCCGGTGCATCGCCCCCCTGTGCATCAAATGCTGCAATGCCGCGTGCATTGAACTCTGCACTCTCCTGTGCACCTGAGGATGCCACAGCTCCGCGGTTACTGTAACAAGACCTCCCAGCCGCCTCCGAGGCCGTGTTGCTGCTCAAGCCTGTGTGGTGGCGGCCCAAGCCCGTGCGGTCACTGAAGTCAGTGCGGTCACTGAAATCAGTGCTGGCACGTCGGAACGCCCTCTCCTTGTGCCGGGCAGCTGACCCTGGCGATGGTGGCGGTCTGTGCCCTTCGGATCGCGCTTCCACTCCTGCACCCCTCCTCTGCTGCTGCTGCTGCTGCTGCTGCTGCTGCTGCTGCTGCTGCTGCTGCTGCTGCTGCTGCTGCTGCTGCTGCTGCTGATGCTGGAAGTGGTGGTCATGAGCCCAGTCCACACTGTGCCTTGCCATCCTAGCAGGGTTCCTGGAGGGTAAGGGTTCATGCTGCCAGTATGCCCTGCTGCTGCTGTTGTCACTGCTGCCAGTGCCACTGCTGCCGGTGCCACTGCTGCCAGTGCCATTGCTGCTGCTGCTGCTGCTACAACCACCGCCACAGCTGCTGCTTCCACTGCCGCTCCCACCGCTCCCTGCGTATCTCTGGCAAGGCTCAGCGCTCAACTCGTCCACCTCACTCTCACTCACAGGCAGCAGGCTGCTACCCCGGCCATACGCCTGTTGCGCCTGAGAACTGTACACGAGGTGACTGTTTGGGCCGTACTGGAAGTGACTGTCTGAGGTGTGATCGTGTCCAAGGCTTGAGGAACAAGGAGCATGGGGCGAGGAGTGCGGCAGGAGGTCACTGGCACACCCAATAGAAAGGCTCTGCTTGCGAGAGCTCGCCGTTCTCCCACCAACCATAATTGCTCTTCCCCTCCCTTCTGTCAACGTGGGGGGGGCTAACAGTGGGTTAAGCCCTGCTTCGCCTTCATCTTCCCTGCCTGGCCGTGGGTCGCTTACTCTGCCTTCCCCTTCTCCTCCCTCTGCTCGCCCTTCCCGAGCTGACATGGAACGCGTCAGTGCCCACCCCGCCCCTCTGCCAGCACTTGGAGCAGCAACACCACTTCTATTTGCAGCAGCAACGCCTTCAGAATCGGGCCTACTTGAAACAGCAGGACCAGCAGAACCAGCAGAACCACCAGCAGCAGCAGCGCCAGCAGCAGTGGTGGCAGCGCCAAAGCCAGTACTAGCTGCGCTGTGGTGCCGTGCTCTCGGCTCCAACCATTCCGAAGCTGCCTTCACCACAACCCTTCTACCTGCCCCAGCAGGACCAGCAGCAGCAGCAGTGGTGGCAGGGCCGACAGTGGCGGTTGAGTCAAAGCTAGCACTAGCTGCTCGGTAGTGTCGCCCTCTGGGCTCCAGCCATTCCGAAGCTGCCTTCACCACAACCCGTCCTTGCTCTGCTGCTGCTACCCTGCCTCCTCCTGTCGCTGGTAACCGTGCACCCTGTAACGGTATGGCACCATCTGACCGTGCCGCTGGTAACCGCGGGCTCTGTAACTGCATCCTTTCATGGGACATGTGTCTAGGCGATTGCTGAATTTCTGAGGTTATGCTCCCCTGTGCCCTTGCTGCTGGTAACCGGGGGCTCTGTAACGGTATACCCCCCTGAGATCTAGATGCTGATGATTGGGAGATCTGTAACGGTATGGCCCCCTGAGATCTAGCTGCTTGTAACCGGGAGCTCTGCAAAGGTATGCTGCCTTGTGACCTGCCTGATGGTGATTGGGGGGGTTGCAACGGAATAGCCCCCTGTGACCTAGCTGCAGGTAACCGGGAATTTTGTAACGGTATGGCCCCTTGTGATCTACCTGGTGATTGGGGGGGTTGCAAAGGAATAGCCCCCTGTGACCTAGCTGCAGGTAACCGGGAATTCTGTAACAGTATGGCCCCCTGTGACCTAGATGCTGGTAGCTGGGAACTCTGTGACAAAATCGCTCCCTGTGACCTAGCTGATGGTGACTGAGGGCTCTGTAACGGTATGCCCCCCTGTGACTTTGTTGCTGGTAACCAGGAGCTTTGTAACGGCATCGATCCCTGCGACCTAGCTGATGGTGACTGGGGGGTTTCTAGCGGAATAGCCCCTTGGGACCTAGCCGCTGCTGGTAACCAGTGGCTCTGTAACGGAATCGCTCCCTGTGACCTAGCTGATGGTGACTGGGGGGGCTGTGATGGAATAGCACCCTGTGACCTGGCGGCTGCTGGTAACCGGTGGCTGTGTAACGGTATGGCACCATTGGATTCTGCCCGCCTATGGTATGGCCCTGGACTTGCTGCAGACGCCGCAGCAGCTGTGGCAGCAGAAGAGGTAGCTGCTAAGGGCCTGGGAGTGGGACCAGATCCACTGGCACTCACAGCACCACTGGCAGCGCTGGCACCGGTTTCACGCTCAAAGCTGGCAGCAGCAGCAGAAGAAGTGCCGTTGGCTGCATGCTGTGGCAAAATGTTTCCCTTCAGCACAGACGCACCCTCTCCTCTCCCTCCTCTCCCTCCAGCAACCCCTCCCCTCCTTCCTCCTCCTCCTCCACCAGCCATTCCCCCTCTGCCCCCTCCTCTCCCCCCGCCAGGAGCAGCCATGGAACGTGCCCCAACAGCCATGGATCGTGCCCCTGCTGCTGCCCTTCGCCACCTCTCACCTACCTGTGCGTCCCCACCATATGCGCCACTGCCCTGTCCGGCCCGGCCCTGTCCGCCCCCGCTGTGTGCGCCCCCGCTGTGTGCACTCCCGCTGTGTGCGCTACAAATATGTGACCCAGTGGAAGGGTGAGGGGCGGAAGGGAGAGGGGCGGAAGGTTGAGAGCTAGCAGAGTGACCGACCTTGGAGGCAGAGCGGCCGCCTGTGGAGCTGCGCCTTGCAAGGGCTGGAGGGGCTTCTGATGAGGTTGTGTCATCACCTGGCCTGCCTGCTGTTGGCCCTGCTGCTTCTGCTCCACTTGCTGCTGCTGCTGCTGCTGCATGTGTGGCTGCAGGTGAGTCAGTAGCAGCAGCATGAGTGCGAGAGGGTGCAGAGCCAGGCCTAGAAGCAGGGACAGTGCCTGTGAGTGGAAGTGTGCGTGGGAGTGTGGCGGTATCAGGCAGCGAGGAACTGGGAGTGGGTGAGTGCGTAGGATTGGGAGTGGGTGTGGGTGTGGGTGTGGGTGTGGGTGTGGGTGTGGGTGTGGGAGTGAGTGTGGGTGCTGCTGCAGGTTTGAGAGAGGGTGTGAGTGTGGGGGTAAGTGTTGCTGCTGCTGCTGGTGCTGCTGCAATGGGTTCGGTGTGTGCTGGGTATTCGGGTATGGGTGACAGAAGGAGTGCGTCGGGCAAGAACGACTGAGATAGCACGTACAGCTCAGCCCATGCCACGTGGGTCTCATCCAGCACCTTTGCCACCTCATCAGGGTCCACGGTGGCCTGCATTGCCACGTCAGGATGGCCTGAGAGCAGCCACGTGTCAGTTGACTCCAGCCAAGCGCAGACACGCTGAAGCACTGCCATGAGCGCATTACTGTCCAGCTCAGACGGTGCTGACTCAGCGCTGACGTCAGACACGACCAGGCGGTATGCTACGGATAGTGTGAGCGGATTGGGAATGGCAATGACTGCATGTGCGCGCACCTGGTGGGGGGAGGGGGGGAAAGAACCAGATGGGGCGGAAGACAGGGGGGAGGCAGGGAGAGGCGGTGGGGGAGGGCAGCAGGGGAAAAGGGAGGATGGGGACGTGGGGTGACAATGCGGGATGGGAGGAGGAGTGCTCAAAACCTAAAGGGTGGCAGTGAGGAGAGGAGTAATCAAAAGGCAAGGATGGCAGTTGCGTTCAAGTGACTGACGACTTGAAAAGCATTTGTCGCGGCATCTGATCACAGCAAACAGAGTGGATTTTCAAGGACAAAAAAGCGACACCACGCAAGTCGTTCAGAGCAGGACAAGTAGCCTGGTAAGTAAAGAGCAGCAGCCTCGCTCGCTCGCACCTCGTAAATATCTCCAGCTGAGTGCAGAGACTGCCTTTGAGTCGACTCATAAGTACACAAGTCGTTCAGAGCAGGACCATTAGCCTGGTAAGTAAAGAGCAGCAGCCTAGCGAATCGCACCTCATAAATATCTCCAGCGGAGTGCAGAGACGGCGCAACGTCCACAACTTCCACAGGAAGCAACACGTCAGCATCTGACAGCGAAGCCGCTGACGAGGCAGCAGCGGTCTGCGGCAGCACACCGCAGTTCCAGGGGAAATCAACCACCGTAGCAGAGAAGCCTTTCGCGTCATCAATGCACCCAGCAGCAGCAGAGCCAGCAGCAAAGTCAGTGGCAGAATCAGTGGCAGAATCAGCAGCAGTGGCAGATCCTTCGGTATTGTCGCAGCAGCTGGCGACGATCTGACCGTCCGTTGGCGAAATCACGTGCACGCGACGCCTGCCTGCCGGGTTCGTGCAGATCATTCGAAACGACGTCGCAGACGTCGCAGAACCGTGCGACAGCTGCGAGCTCGATTCCAGCGACTCAGCGACCAGGTCTGAAGCTGGACCCGGCGAGTCAGAGAGCGCGTGCGAATCAGAGTGCGAGTGCGAGTGCGAATCCAACGAAGGGTCCAACCCTAATTCCTCGTCGTCGGCTGGATACAGGGGAACGTCGTGCCATGGCGACACCCTCACTCCTTGAAAGAGCACCGGTATCATGGAAACGGACGGCGGCGATGAAGGGATAAGAGGACCTGTGGTGGAGATTGATGGCGCCGGCTCGTCGTTCCAGTCACCGTCGCCATCGTTGCCGTCCATTTGACGGTCACGGTCGAGCTGACGCTGGCTGGTTCCTGACAGACTGACGTGGCGTTTCTGCTCGCACGACCCACTGCCTGACGTCACGTGGCAAGACGTGACGTGAGCTGACGTGCTTAAATGCTGTGTATTTCACGAGTAGTAGCGGCCACTGCCAGAAGGGCCTGGTATAGGCTAGGCCTTGCTTCATTCGTCGCCACTCCATTCATCGCCTTCCATTCACCGCCACTCCATTCGTCGCAATTCTTCGCATGGGCCGATGGCAGCTCGGAGCTCCTTCGCATGTGAGCTGGCTGTGGTGACTGGTCTCGGCTTCTCGTCTTGGCTGCTTCTTGCTTTCAGGCATAATGTCTCAGCGCATCGTCAAGTGAAACAATTCACAGTTGACGACAATTTCAGTGATTCCATTCAGGGTTTTAGCTGCACCACAGTTTGGCAGCAGTTATGATAGAACAGAGAATGGCAGCAAGGATTTACCGAATGTGAACTCGCAACTGTACTGCATCCGTACTATATTAGACCAGAACCCATACAGCCGCGTCCGACCCTATTATATATACGACCCCTCGAACCAGCAACTGAAACATTTGCTGGACTGCTTGGGCCGCCTGCTTCGTGTGTCTTGTAGGTGCTGGTCTGTTGAACGTGCTTATAACGATAATGACTTGTACTCATTATAGTGTGTTCCCAGATAAGTAGAAACAATATGCTAGCTGAAGAGCAAGCAACAGCATTTGAAAGCCACTCACAAAAATCGCTAGAAAGGATGGTGCAATAAAGAAATTGTCTTTAGTCTCAGGGTACATTCCTGCGGGGACACTTGTGTCTCAATCACTTTGTGACATCTAAAATCAGCATATACCGTGCCCTGTCACAAAAGCGGATCGCGCTTATGCGAGTCCCACTGTATTTTACATTGGTTGGCGTGAATTGCGCTTGTGTCGCGGACGAGTTACACGAGGCCCCGTCACATCCCGAAAATCGCACGCGTGTCGAAATCTCACACTGTACAGCATGCACTTGGACGCCCGAACTGGGCACGTTTCCGCGCGGGGATGGAAACCGCTCTGCCCGGGCTGACATATGACTGGTCCTTCAGCACACACGGTCACATCCCTGCCCGAATGTTTGCCCATCGTTCCAACCACACTGACAGCACTCTCCCGCTCCAATCTGTTCTTCTTCTCCCAACCCGAGCTTCCTCTTTCTTGTTGCGAAGTCTAGCCAGGGTCTTCTTTGGCACGCTGTAGCCATGGCCCGTAAGCGCAAGAGCGTAGCTAGTTCTGTTGACTTGTGCCCGCGGGATCTCGACGAGATCCCGTACATCGCTTGGATGAACAAACAAATCGCGGCCGGCCGCAAGCCCGCCGGCCCTTTGCCCGAAGGAGCGCCTGGTGCGGGGGACACCTCGTTCGAAGCCCCGCGCGATGTCCCTACCCGCGGACGTCGTCATGCCGACCGGGTTGCCTCATCCCGCGTCAACGACGATGTTGCCTTCGATGACGATGATGACGCCGCGGACTCTGATTACAACGAGTGCGACGAGGCCTGCGAAGACGACGCGGACTCTGGCGAGGAGCAGGACAAGGGCATGTCCCCCTCCGAGGATGAAGTTGACGCCGACGAGGACGCCGATGACGACGAGGACGCTCCCGAAGAGGCCCAGCCTGCGTCCCCGGCTCCTCGTCGCGGCCGTGCGTCTGCCGCTGCGGGAACCAAGACTGCTGCTAAGGGCGGGGAACCTCCGCGTGCCGCTGCCAAGACCCGTAACTTGCATCCTGTTAAGCGGAGCGTGTGGTTCATGAAGGACGAGCGCGGGCCCCTCCTCGGGAAGCAGGGCTCTCAGTACTGGGCCCGCCTCGCGCGTCACCTCGAGAAGGAGAATCCCGGTTGGGTGCGCGGTGTAAACGCGCTTCAGAAGCAGTGGCGCAATCTTGTGAACATGTACAAGCAGATCAAGAAGGGGGAAAAGGCGAGCGGCAAGGGTTCCGTGTGCAAGCCCCACTGGTACCCGTACATGGCGCTTTTCCAGAACAACAAGGCGGTGGGCAACCCTCACGCCGTCGACGGTGGCGGTGCGGCACACGTCAACGTGCCGTGCGGGTACGCGGTCCCGTCCACTTCGGCGCCCTGCACCTCTACGCCGACATTCACTGGTATGTATGTGTTGCATCAACGGTGGCACTCGCGGGTTTGTTGAATGACACATTTTGTGACAACATTTTACGCACACATTACATCATTAAAATGTTTAGGGTACATAACACCTCGTCTACTGTTCGTGTGCATCCACCGTGTGTGCAGCTCCGCCGCCACAGGGAACTCCTACATCGAAGCGCCCATGTGTGGCAGAGACGGCGACGATGGCCGCTGCAAAGCTGGTGTGCGAGACGATCAAAGGCTGCCACTCAGACGCCATGAGCAGGCTCGAAGGCCTCGTCCGCGCGTGGATGGATCAGGACGCGCGTATTGCTCGGGAACGCGTGCAGCAGCCCGCACCCTCCCCGCATGTCCGCGACGACATCCCTGCCCACGCGGACAACATGACCGACTCGCACGCCGCCGAAGGCGGCGACGACGGCTGGCTTCGTCGCGGGCAGGCGGGCGAAGACCCCTCTAACCCAGATGCGGGTGAGGAGGTGTGGGTCCGCGGCGCCGCCGAGTGAGGTAAGACGACTCCAGAGCTTCGCCCAGCCGCTTGCGCCTTTCACGAAGATTCTCTTGCGTGCATGGGTCACATGGCTCCCACATGAACTCTGCTACCGCGCCACGAGTCCACCATGGGTCCCGGTTTCGGGGCAAGTTTGCCCACGATGCATTGACGCGCCTTACTGCGCCCATCATTTCGCACATGTTGTGCAGGATGACGCCACAAGACGCCCCTGCAAGAATGCGCCAGAGCTTGCAGTCATTGCGGCCCGCGAATAGACGCCACCGGCCTTTGAAGGCGCCGATGCAGCGCTCTACTGCCATGCGCGTTGCGCTTTGGCAATAGTTAAAGCACTGCTCCCAGTCCTCCATTAGGCCTTCACGGGGAGCATGTAGGGGGGTCAGGCAGAAGTCTCTGAGTGGGTAGGCAGCATCTCCCACTATTTGGTATGGCGCTATGTCGCCGTTGTACAACCTTTCGTGTAACGCGCTGTTCATGAACACTCTCTGATCGTGCGCACTGCCCGGGTATCCGATCAAATAGTCCCATATGATGCCTCGCGCGTCGCATGTGATCTGCAACTGGACGGCGTAACAGGACTTCCGCGTGTAGTACTCTTGCCTGTGCCCCTCCATCCCCTTCATGGGTATGTGTGTGCCGTCTATAGCCCCCACTACCGCAGGTACCCCCTTGATGGCGCGGAACTCTGCAGCCATCTCGTCGAGGTCGTCGCGGGTCGGGAAGTGGACCCACTGCTGCTTGAAGACGGACGGGAAATGCATGAGGAGCGCGTCAACAAGCATGTGGCACAGGGTCTTGGACAGCCCGAACACGGAGGACAAGTCTACGAAAGACATGCCACTTGCGAGGTATTTGATAGGTACAAGGCATGCCACTTCATGACTGATTAGGTACCTGTCCACGTACGGTTGCATGTAGTGCGTCATCCCGGCGACAATGTATTCGAGAATGCCACGGTTTATGCGAAACATATCTCTGAACTGATCCCCCCCCATGCCGTCCAGGTCCTCTAGCAGCAACTGGTATCTCCGCCGGCGTAGCCCAGCCCTTCGTTTCCGCTCTGCGGTACGGTTGGAGGCGCGAGAGCTGGATGACGAGGACACCTCGTCATTGAAGACGTTCGCCTCCAGCAAGCCACCAACCGACTTGGCGATGGCATCCATGAATATGCTGTAGTAGAACGTAACCCATGCGACAAGTAGGCGCATGAGGAATGGCACCTCGCGGGGCGATGCCATGGTTGCTAGACAGTGGTGCAGTTTAGCTCTGTGATGCTTGCGTTTTTGTACTTGGAGCCGTGGTTGTATACATGCTGTTGTGTGTGGGGTGGCCCAAATTGCAACTTTCATTTCTGTGGCAAGCCCACCGCGATACTCGAGGTAGTGCGATATGTTTAGCCCCCCTGCCCGGCGGGAAAACTGGGTGGGCACAATCCTATTGGTCGCAACCAATAGTACGCACCCACCTGGCTGTGCCCATCTATCGCGCAGGGTCGCGATACATTGGTTGTTTGTGACACAACATTTGGCAAATTTACAGGCGCGACTCGGGAAAACGGGGATTGAGACACAAGTGTCCCCACAGGAATGTACCCTCATACTTTTACATTCATAAGTGCTCGAACACTTGCTCTATTGGAGCACCAGAGGGGCCTCCATGTGGGACGGGCATAGGAGCCACTTATGAAAGCAAAAGCAGGAGGTGATGAAAAGATTAGGCTGCCCGTTATTGGGACCAGGCTAAGCTGAAAGAAAAAGGAGAGAATAGAGAGAGGTGGAGGGGTGAGACGACCTGGTGGGGTGAGAGGAGTGAGAAAGAAAAAGAGAGGGAAGAAGAGCAAAGGCGAGGGGAGACAAAGTGTGGGAGTGTGTGTGTGTGTGCATGGGGGAGTGTGGGAGGGTTACGAGGGAATCCAGTCCGGAGGTGTGAACGCCCCTTGATGTTGATCAGAAAAGCCTGTAGGTTGTGAAATTCCTCATCTAGCCCTCCCCCCTCCTTTCCCCCAAAAGCCGCAGAAGCTGCCACCGCCACAGTTTCTGAAAAAGAAGCCAGTCTTAAGTTGCACGCAGCAGTAGCTTCCCCCGGATCATCTCTCAGCCATGTCATGATCACCATCGAGCCAATAGCCCCCTCCTCACAGGGCAAACGTGAGGCGCAGCGGGATGGACGGCAGATGCGCCTGCAGCACCAGCTGCTCCTGTAGTGCCTCCACGTCAGCACAGTCTATCTGCCCATTGGCTATCACCGACGGCAGCAGCACCTGTCCCTGCAGCCTCGACAGCAGCAGCAGCCGTTTCTTTGCCCGTGCCATCCTCAGCAGCATCGCTACTCCTCCTTTTTCAGCCGGACTGCCCCCCCTCACCCCCACCACGTGCACCACGCCCTCGGGGGTTTGTTCCAGAAGTAACCCCCAGTCGGGAGAGCACGCTGCGTTATTTACCCCGCCGGACGCCAGCACGAGGGTAAGTTCCACCTCGGAATCCGGGACCAGCCAGAGCCGGACGGCACGTAGGACCGAGATATGATCTCCGCGCTGCTCGTCGTTTGTCTTTACTGTCCACTTGCCGTACTGCGCCATCTTGGCGAGCTTGTCGCCATCCATGCCGCCCAGCCGCACCGGCAGGACTTCGGTTTGAGCGTTCATCAGCTCGAGTGCTGCCCCGCTCGCACGCACTGAGGCGAACCAACGCAGGGCACGCTGGAGAGGAAAAAACGCGGGTGTGGGAGTGGGAGGGGATGAGAAGAGAGATGAGTTGTCAGAAAGACAGAAGCAACACAGAGCGAGACTCGTTGCAGCAGAAACACAGCTGCTGAAACGCTACAAGCATTATCCTGCAACTCTGAGACAAGCTGGCTTAAAAACAAATAACACCGTCAGATTGAAGCAAACTGCAAGAACCAGAGAACGCTCGCTCGTACGACCCTACTAACTTACGTCGATTGTGTGATTGACGTCAAAGAATCGACAGCTCTCCTTCCCCCCGCTCTCAGCCGGCATGATCAGAATGGTGAACAGCGATGCCGGCCCGCTGCCGCCCAGACCCTTGCTGCTGCCGCCCGAGTCGTCCTTCTCTGCCGCCTCAGCAATACAGTGCCGCCGAACCTTGAGCACAGGACCCGGAGTTGCATGCGAAGGCAGGTTCGGGGCGGCAGGTAGGAAGGCAGGTAGGCAGCCGGAGTGGAGAAAGATAGGTAAGCCTGCTGGGAGAGAGTCTGTGCAAGTATCACCATCTGTTGCAATGCTGCTGGCCATGACTGCCTGCATGCCTGCTGCCTGCATGCCTACTGCCTGCATGCCTGATGCGTGGCCCCGCCACAGCCTGGCTTCTGGCGCTATCGCCGCCCTCCCTGCCCACAACCTTTCCTGCATCTCCGCTTCCTCCACTTCAGCAGCAGTTCCAGCAGCAGCGGCATCGGTCGCGAGGATAGTGGAAGCAGCAGGGGTGGTGGTGTGATGGGTGGGAGAGCTCGGTCTGGTCCGCGCTCCCATGTCACGTGCTTCTTCGAGCGTCGGACCAGCACTGCCACCAGCGGCAGCACCAGCAGCACCAGCATCACCACCAGCACCACCAGCAGAAGCGTCGCCTGCTCTTTCACGCCAGTACCCATCGTCTCCCTCCTCGTCCTCCCCTTGAATGCATGTCTCTGCATCTTCCCACCTACCCCAGCCTGCTCCGCTATCGCCTTCCCCAGAAACCGGCACTTTAGAGTACAGGTGCGGCAGCACGACCCGCGGCTCGGCTGCTGATGTGGCGGCTGTCGCACTCCGTGTTCCATAGGAGGCGCGCGAGTCGGCACTGGCAGTAAGAGAGCTCGATTGGTTGGGGGCAGAAGTGTCGGCAGGTTCGATCTCGTTGTGATGAGAATTGAAAGAAGGTTCTCCAGGAATTCGGGCATCCCTGAGCATACCAGCACCATCCCTCTTCAACCGCTCAACTTCGCCGCGACCGCCATCCTGCGCGCTAATGTCCCCCCTCTCCGCTGGGTGCACCACATGCGCTAGAAGCGGTGCTCTGACCCGTTCCGCCTCCTCCGCTCCATCCCTTGCGCGCGCCCATCCCATCCGTAGCCGCGCAATCCCTTCCGCCAGCTTCCCCACAGCTTCGCGCGCCGGCAGGGAGTCCTCCGCCCCTTCCCCATCTTCCGCCTCTTCCCTATACCCCGCGCCGCCTGCGAAACAGCAACCGATTTCCGCCGCACGACGAGCCCTGACACTAGCAGAGGGTAATTTGGAATACAGGTCATTGCCGCGCCTGTTGCGCTGCTCCTTGTTGCGCTGCTCCTCTTTCTCCACTGGCCGAGGCTTGTTATTCCTCAGCACGCCGTATGCTTTAATCCGTTCTAGCCGCAGAATGCTCTCCTCCGTCCACGCTGCAAGCGGCGCGAACAACGCGTGCCGGCCCTCGGACAAAACGACGCCCTCTAGAAGGTTCTCGCCGGCGTCGTAACTGCAATCCGTTTCAAAAGTGCCGGCTAGCCGGTAGCTGGCCGCTCCAAAGCTTGCGGTGGTGTCGTCGTAACTGCCGTCGAAACTGACGTCTCCTTGTGCGGCTTCAGCAGCTGCGGCATTAGCCGCTGCGGCTTCTGCTGCCGCTGCCGGAGTGACTCGAGCCCAGATGTCTAGACGGCTGAAACAAAGCATAAGCACGAACAAGAGATGAAAGGCGGATGCGACATGAAGTTGGGAGAAAGCAAGAGGAGAGAGAGGATACGACGGAGAAGACGTAAAGTGCGCCGATTGGAAAGCGAGAATGGAAGGGTGACGGAAATGCATGAGTGTGTTTAGTGCGTAAGGAAGGTCGGACGGAGGTGAGACGGAGGTTATCAAAAGTGAGATGGAGGTAAGACGAAAGTAAGATGGGCGGAAGTAGGAGGAAGGGCGTGCCTTCCAGACTACTGTTGATTTAGAATCAAGATCCAGACAATCACAGATCAAGACCACGAAGGCAGCAAGCATCGACTTAGATTGCGGACCTTCACCAGCTTCTTAGGTCCAAATGGCCTAAAGATCGCCGTTTCTCACCTATTCCCACGAAGCACTTGAAGCGGCACGCGATTCTGCTTCAGCTCGTCGCGCAGAGACCATGAGAGAATCTCCCGCCTGACGAGGTTAATGCCGTCCTCGAATGGAGCGTATGCTGAACGATTTGACCCCGAGTCGCCTACTCTGAGAATGATATCTCCTGGAAGAAGCGCGTGGGGATTCGTTAAAGGCCATTGGCTGTCAGCGATACCAACCAGAACTTCCGTACCGTTAATAGGTCTAATGGGTTGTCGAGTATCCATCAGTAGTCGACGCTCTAATAGTTGTATTTGGGCAGTGAGGCTAGAACCTAAAAGACCGTGTGTGGCAAGTCGCATCAATCTTGAAAGGGCTTGACTGCTTGCCTTAATCGGAAACGACGGCGACGAAAACTAGGGGTACTCATCTTAGGCACCGCCTGACTTGAATGTGACGTGACACTAGGACACAGGAAGCTAAACCAAATTGTGCTAGGTATAGTTTAATAATCGACACTCCAGCTGTACTAGTCAATAATCTGTAAGGGCGTGTCTGAAGTGCAAACGTCGAGTTTCGTCAAATTTCGTCGACGAAACTCATCCGTGGGACCCACGCGTGTTGGTGTCTGAAGTGCAGCCTGACATCCCTCGACGAAACTCGACGTTCGTGCACATGTCGAGGGATGTCGAACAGTGATACCGGGCAGCTGTTTGAGTCACTGTAGTCAGTGAGTGTTTCAAAAACAATTCTTCGACACGCCATGTCTGCATAGCTGTGGCAAAACACACGTGAATAAGAACTAAGACGAGAGCGACACGTGCTAGAGAAATTTCGCTGGCAATGTGACAGTAGAATATCCGGTGTTACCAGCAACAATCTATGCTAAGCGAAATTCGCGAGATTGCAAACAATTGAGTTACATGAATGATTCTGTTAATTCCACGTCGAATTTTCATGGGCAACTTATAACAGTGTTCCTATGGCACGTGTGGGTTATTTTGTCGTGTGGGTGTCTGAAGTGAACACAGCTGAAAACGGATGTCGAGTTTCGTCAAGGAACGTCGACGAAAGTTTCGTCGGCAAACGTCGAAATTCACTTCAGACACGCCCTTACGGCACGGTGTGGCACCAACAAGCAACAGGAATCTAGGTGACTGACACAACCTAGGGGGGAGAAAACCTAGGTGACTGCTTGGCTGTGTCAGCAAGCACCACAGTTCCGCCATCGCCCAGTCCCGCTGGCACCGGCTGAAAGGGGGGAGGGGGGGGAGGGGTGGCGCAACAGGGGGCGCGCAGCGACGTAGACTGGCTTGGTGTGCTATGCTGCTTCCGCTGCTGTGCTGTAAGCGAGCGGAATTCGCAAGAGAACCCGGACGTTGCGCTGGGTGGAAAAATCTGCGCAAAAGTGACGTTAAAGCGACGGTGCACATTTGCCACCCAAAACCCAGAACCCTGGCGAACTGTTACTGCGGATGGAAAGTGTCCGCACGAAAACCTGGTTTTCGCCAGCCAGCACTTTCGCGCTGGCAAGCCTGGTTAAAAAAAAAAATTCTGAACCCAACACTGCCAAAAGTTGCCCGTCGCTTTAAAGAGGGAAAGGCCTCAACGCAACCTTGGGCTTGCCTTGCCGTGCTTCCTCCTCGCCGACATTTTGTTTCCAAATGGGGCACGAAGCACTCAGATTCGCGTGAATTTCACGTGCGCATATCATACACAATGTGGAGGTATACAGTGAAATTATGTGCTACTGTTGGTGGTTCTGCTGGGAATATTGCAGCATGCTCTTATTTTCCAAGCTGCCCGGATATTTTTTTGCAACGGTGGGTGGATGTCAACCCCACCAGGATGACATCAACCTTGGCGGAACGTCAACCTCAGCGGTTGTTTCCGTTCAACCGCCCACAGCCACAGCCGTCTGACCGGACCACCTCCCACCGCCAGACTTCGTGGCGGAGGGGGATTGGGATGGAGCGTCGATTTTTGGCCTAAGCCCTGCCTACATCTTTTACAGCCGTCGATCTCATTCCACAAAATTCTTGTCAAATTCATAATCCCCGCAAGAATCCTAACGCGTTTGCAGTTGAGTCGCTATGTAAGGAAATTTCCCTTTCCTTACTTCGCGTCCATGCTCAACGCGCACACCACTCTTCCCGCCAACAGCACCCCACAACAATCCGTTACCACTCGCGACATTCGCCTCGACACCATTCCCGCCACTGTTCACGATGCGAACCAACCTCACGGTTCGGTTGGTAACCCGCGCTCCGGACCTCCGCCTCGACAATTCCCAACCTCGGCGCTAGGCCCGTCGCGCACCCTATTTTCCACGCATTAACGTTACCACTATAGTTTCGCTATATATTCTTCGCCCATTCCTTCGCTCATTGTATTCTTGCCTCGATAGTGCAATCCTCGCTCTCTCACTCAGTTGCACCCGTAACACTTGGTTATCAGAGCCTACGATCTTCTCTCAGACTGCACCCATACCTTCGCTTCCCACTATCTCAATTTGCTGGGGGGGGATATACGTCTCTCAGCGACCAAGCACCGCCGCTCGTAGTGCTCTCTCGTAAGCACGCACGGCCACGACAGAGGCTCTCGCTGAGCTCGCCCGACACCCCCACCATGGCTGAAATTACTCTCGCGACACTAACGCAAGCGCAGCTCGACCGTCTCATACGCCAACTCGAAGATTCGGCCCTCGAAATCGCTACTCTCACGGCGGAACGCGATTCCGCCCGCCAGCAAACGACAGTAAATGCATGAGCACCAACCAATGCACCTGCACAATCACAGGAGCCGATCATCATCTCATCAGGTACACCAACACAGAACGACAGCGTGGGACAACGCTCAGGCGTAGCCAGTGAGGGCGCCGCTCACTCAATGCCTAGCATGGAGAGAAACAAGGCCGCACCAAGCCCGCGGGAGCCCCGCGAAGCCCGTCGGCACGTGGAATTTGCAGCGACAAATGGCGAGTATGCCATCACGGCACCAATGCCACTCAAGCCGCAGCGTCCGCCCTGTTTCGACCCGAGCCAACGTGGATGTCCGATGGTTCAATCGTGGGTCTTCACGATGAACGTCTTTTTCGACGCGAATTACGTCGAGTTGGACGCAGCGAAGATTCGCTACGCTGTTTCGCTACAGAGGGGCCCCGCCATGGACTGGTGGCGAGTCATCGTGACGTCGCCACGCGCCTACGAGCCACCGTCGCAATAGGAAGGGCCCACGGGCCCAGCCGTCACCTGGAGTTCATTCTGCGAGACAGCCCAGTACAGCACGTGGGATGCGTGGTGCGCAGGGCTTCGAGCGCGTTTCGAGCCGATTGCTGCTTCGATTTCGGCGCGTCAGAAGCTGCGTATTTGGCGGCAGCTCGCATCAGTTCAAGACTACACGAGTGGTTTTCTCGCATTATGCGAGCAAGTCGGCTATATGCACAAAGCGGAGCGGGTGGACTGCTACATCGGAGGGCTAAAGCCGGACATCTCGCACGAAATCATGCTACGCGGGCTCTCGAATTTTAACGAAATCCTCGCACTCACCGAGAAAATCGACATTCTGCGACGGCCGAGACCAGGGTCCTACTACGGACAACGTCCTCGGGGACCAATCGAGCACGCCACCGTACACGCCATTGCGACAAATGCAGCTGCCGCACCGTTTAAGGGGAGCTGCTTTGCTTTCCATAGGCCGGGTCATCGCAAGAGCGAATGCCCAGAGGAGCTGAGGTGCCGCGGAACAGAGCAGGGGTGAGAGTCTCAGAGGCCGGGAAACGCTAGCAGTCACTAGAAGTTGGGCCAACTACTGACGAGACTGCCTGCTCGCCCAACCTCACCGACCCTCACCGAGTCACAGTACCAATTCACGCTATCGATCGGGCTCGGATGAATAAGGAGGGTACAACGACGGATTGCCCAGCACTGATCCACGGAAAAATGCAGGGAGCAGCAGTGAATATTTTTATAGACGGAGGCGCAAGTCACAGCTTAGTTAATACCGCGACTACAAGAAAGCTGCAACTGGCACTTAGCCGGTGTTTACCGGAGATAGATGCACGCTTGGTTGACGGAACGCCGCTGGCCATACGGGAAAAAGTGGAGAGAGTAAAAGTCTGCTGCAGGGGGAACTTGGGGTTTACACAGGAAATGCTCGCGACGACATTGGATGGGCACGACATTTTACTGGGACGTGATTTGCTGCGACGATACAACCCGCGAATCGACTAGACGACGGGTAGCTGCACTGTGTGAAGTAGCGGTAGCTGGATTGAACTACCTCGCTGGCAGTCGCCTGGGTCTTCAACGGTCCACGTCAACGCCATCACAATGAAACGGGCTGTCGCCACTGGAGCTGACGTGTACGCGGTGGATATCGCAATGGTGGAAGAAGCAGAGCAGCCGAGCGATTTTCAGAAACTACTGGCGGCAGTACCACTCGAACTACAGGAACTGTCGAAACAGTACCCGGTGATTTTTCCCGACGACTTACCGGAGGGACTGCCACCTCAGCGTGTCAGAATATGTTGTATTTGTCTAGCCTGCAGTGGGGTACTCAATAGTGAGTACAGCCCAATCTAGGGTTTCCTATATGTACTCAACTGCTTGCTAGTGAAAACCTCTCTTTTCTCGTTTCTAACT